AGTCTGATGATCCAGAGCCCTGTTAAAGGGGTTGTGGTGAAATAACTTATTACATGGAACCTTAAAGTGGTCTGTTTTTATTCAAACATATCGGCTCTGAATTTTACATTGAGCTCTCCGGATATCATCCTCCTTGGGTCTACCATGCGGATTACCTAGTTTTGCAATAAACTATATATATATATATATATATATATATATATATATATATATATATATATATATATAAAAAACAGGTTTTATTAAATGGCCTGTCTATTTAAATTTTTATGATATTCTTCCAATTTCCGAATGAGGTATTAATCATCGGGATTGAAATTATGAATAAATTATCCACAGTTCGTTTTTTCTGTTATATTCAAGTAAATTCGACTATCATAGTCATTAGCAAAAGTAGTTATCAGTATGGTAAGCAATACTATTTTTTATTAATTTTATCCTTTTTAGAACGCTGGAATGAAAATTGGAATCAGTTAAATGTGACGCCATATTTAACGGTTAAACGGGAATGCATTTACCAAATATGCATATTTTTTAGCTTTATTATACATAATTCATTATTCTTTATTATACATACTTCAAGATACAATCTTCTGTGGAGAAAGATATTATATTTCATGTAGATAATACTTGTTTTACATTAATAGTATTTTGATTGTTTGTGAGATGCTGATCAATAGGTGCATAAATTGCGCCAAATTTCGACAAGTGACAAGTCAACCTACGAGAGAATGCGGTGTATATATGGCCAGTGTGATAATTTAATGTTGCTTGTTAACACAGCTTCCAATCTGACACAAAAAAAATGAAATATTTGTGCTGTGGTTGGGGCAAGAGCCAACGTCTTGAAAGTGGTCAGATAAAAGCAGGGAGTTTTTTGGTGGGGGACCCCACGGAAGTACCCAAAGTTTACGCCGTTTTGTGAGGCGGTGACAAACGAGGGGCATGTGATACCGTCTCACTTTTCCCTACAGGACCCGATTATCAATGCGATCGCCTAAAGCGAAATGAAAGAGACAGTAGTAGAGGGCGGGGGGTCTACATTTCGTGCAAGGCACAGCACCTATTTTGAGTAGAACCATGCACATGTCCCACGTGACCAAGGAGTGGTTGTTTTCCAAAGTGCATCGAGGCCAATCAGGAACTCACAACAGGAGGAGGGGGGGTCATCATTTCAACTTAGATCAGTTAGAAAACATCTAACTCAATTCGTTACCTCTTTTTGGAAGTTAAGGAGAGAAGCATATTTTCGGAAGTGAAAGTGGGAGGTAACGAATTATTTTTAAATTTCCCTAATAAATCATTTTTATCACAAGTTACCAACCATCGCCCGAGGAAGTACAATCTTAGTACTGAAACATGAAAGCTTTTGTGTAGTGATGTAAAATGTTTTTATTGTACTGTAATAAAAATAATAATAATATATTGCTCTACCTTGCATTGAGATTTTTTTAAAAAGTAAATGCTGTGGATTTTTACTCTATCTGTTCTTTCTCGCATATATATATATATATATATATATATATATATATATATCTTAATCGAAAGCATGGTTAACACAACATGATTTGACCAGTTTATTCACGCGCATCAGCAACACTAAGCAAATATTTTTCGCAATTTACAGAAAAAGATCGAGACAAAATATCCTGTTTTTTAATAACGTATGTTGTATATTTAAAAATGCGTTTGCTGCATAAATACATTGAATGCACACCACACAGACACATAAACTCTCTCTCTCTCTCTCTCTCTCCCTCTCTCTCTCTCTCTATATATATATATATATATATATATATATATATACTGTTCAAAAGTCTGAGGCGACCTCTGGTCAATTTTTCAAATTGGCCTCAAAAATAGTCGTTTGTTATTTTATTTTAAATAAGAGAAAATTATTATACATGGATAAAAATAAAGTGAAACATGATTTTTTTTTATTAGAAATTTTATTATGACAAAAAGAAAAAAAAGCATTTCATGATTAAATTTTGCTTACGTCAAAATATCCTCCTTTAGCCTTGATTACTGCAGCACAAATTTTTGGCATTCGTTGCAAAAGTTTCTCAAAATATAAGTTTGATAATTGATTCCATTCTTTCTTTTCAATGACTCTCAGAATTCTTTTTCCTTTTTTTTTGCTAATTCTGGGGTTGCCTTCAATTTTTTTAACTGTAGTGTATAACAGGGATCGGCAACTTTGCACCAAATTAGGGTTTTAAAATCCTTCAATGTGCCAACAGCATACATATTTTTATACAAGTCAAAGTCAATATACCCGTTCTACAATTTATTTTATATAGTAAGATATACAATAATATGTAAACATTAATAGAAATAAACTTTTTCATTTTTTTAAAGTTTTTTATTATTAATGGCAGTCCAACGAGTGATCAGTTTTGAAACAGCTAAATATCTTCTTTGCGTTTTAATAGTTATTGGTTGGGACTTCGTGATGTCATTTGCGGCTGCGTGCCATTGGAAATTGACTGGCGTGCCACGTACGGCATGCGTACTGTCAAATTGGTGTTAAACAAAAGAAAATAAACCTTACGCCCGTAGAACAGAAGGGAATGAAAAGTGGTGTATAACATGATACAATAATAGTTTTAAGGTATGTTTTATACTTATGGGTAAAAATGTTCAATATCAGGTATAGCGCGTATGTAAATATAAAAGTGGACACTGAGATCAACACCTTGCAGCGACAGTCTGTTTCATACTTGAACGCAATCTTCAGGTCATGCTTCAGAGCACATCTGTGGTTTGGACCGTAACGATGCGGAGTTACAATTTCTGCGTAAGTGCGCATTATCTGGCGTTATCAGCAGTCTGAATAAACCATCACGCTCAAACTCTCGGTCACGATGACTTGCGACTTTGCGCTATCTCAAGTAGTGACAGCTCCGCCAAAGAGTTCTGTTTACCCAGATTCACTCCATCAAACCCCACCCGGATCCTGTCAACCGGTGGAATGGTCTTCAGTCATTTTCCAAGGGTACCGCACGTTAGCATCGCCTCTGCAGGTCAATAACATCGAGAAATCACCTTCCTCACAAATCGACCATGGTAAGATTCGAATACATTTATATACATACATATATATATATATATAAAGTCAAGAAAAAAAATCCGTCTCGGTTATAATGTATTTCCTGAATATATATATATATATATATATATATATATATATATATATATATATATAATGGACTCTCCCGTCGGTTTAGACGTATGAGGATCTGACAACTTATTGATTCAGTTATGAAAGTTTGTGCGATAATCTTAAGTGGCATTTAAGACCCGCTAGTGATTCACAAAGGAGGCCACATATGGAGCAAGTGTGAGGACTGTGAAATGAGATCACTGTTAGATTGGGTGACCTTTTAGATCTTGCTCTCGCTTCTTGAAGATGATTCAGACAAGCAGATTGAAAATTGCTGAGTCCACTAAAACACGTTGAATATATATATATATATATATATATATATATATTCATGAAACAAATTATAAACGAAGTGAATTTTTAATGATTTTCTTGACTTATTATTATTATATTGTTGTTACATTGAGATCTCTTTGAATTAATATCTTCCTTGGAATTATCCCTACCCATTATCAAGTGATATTATATATATATGTGTGTGTGTGTGTGTAACATATATATATATATATATATATATATTAACACTTTAAACGTTATTTTTAGTGGATATTCATATCTGAGTATACAATGCTCTTTGTTCCTCCTTGGTGCACATTACTAGCGGAAGCGGCCATGTTTAGACTGTATCAGCAGAAGGCAGTGTGACAAACCTATCGATATGTCATCGTGAAGTGCGGATAATTTTTTTAACTTACCCTCGTATAATATCACTTGTATAATGCTTGATTTATATGGTTAATGGAAAGCGATGGATTAAGTGCATTAACATGGAAGGATATTATACTGGAAGATATTCTCTTTTTTCCGTCATTAGATTACAGATATATTGACCAACCAACGTACTAGGTGTTATGAAAAATTTCGGGGCAAAATGTCGTTTATTATTTTTTGATAGAAAGAATTCGAAAGATAACTGAAATGTTCGGCGAGACACGGGAAATTGAGTAATTTCACCGGTCGGTGTAGCTGTGTTATGTTTTCCTCCGTGTATAACATCAGGATTTCCAGGTTGTTTAACAAAGCTGAAATTTGAAGGTACACAATTTTTTTTTTTTTTTGTAGTGTTGAAAAGTTCTTGGCCCGACTAAGAAGAAAAATATCTGAATTTTGGTCATTGAATATAATTTTTAGAAATGGACTTACCCTCGTACATATTTCAGCTCAAAATTCAGTGAAGAACTTTGCACCTCCCAAACTCTAGATGAACAGAGCTTAGTAGCTGATTCTCTGAGCCAGCACACACAGTTTTTTGATGGTTTGTAACATTCAATACCTCCAAAATTACTAGCGTTACATCGTCACTGAGCAGCTTCTTTGTTTTCTCAAGTCTATGGCGAACGGTTGTAGCTTTAATTGAGACTCCTTGCCTGGAAGCTCACGCGAATACGATTTTTTTTTTTTTTTTTTTTTTGTGCCAGGCTCTATCTTTACAAGAGCCATATCAGACCAAAAATGGAGTATTGCTACCATATCTGAGCTGGGGTTGCCCAATTCTCACATTCCAGCCTTGTAGGCGATTAATTATTTCCCATTCTACAGCACCGTTACAGACGAAACGTCGCATGATTGTCGCTACTCGATCGCTATTTCCATGGCAAATGTTCAGATAAACTCCATTTTCTTTTTTAATTCCAACAGTTTAGACCGTGGCAGCTAAAACTCGACTCGTTCCGTCTACAGGATCGAATCACTCCCATTTCCTTCGTATACCATTGTTAAGAAGAAAGTTCCAATCAAATAGCTTCTTCCCAAAAACCGCTATTTTATGAAACATACTCCCGCGAAGTTGCTTTCCCAATCACTACAATCTTAATCTCTTCAAGTCTAGTGAGCTTACAGTCACACCACGTTGAAACCCTGGTTCTCGTACAATTACAGAAGTTAAGCAACGTTGAGCCTGGTCAGTACCTAGGTGGGTGACTGCTTAGGAATACCAGGTGCTGTAAGCTTGGATGTGCGAACGGTGTAATGGATAACGGCTCTGAATTGTTAATTGGAGAACCGAGTTCATGTTCGTTATATTCACTTAGGCACAAATAGCTTTGGGAAAGGTATGAATCAACCACTTCCCCAGCTATGGGTTAATTAGCAGGACTTTCATCACTAAAGCATTATTATCTCTAATCTTGCATCACTAAATTATTACCTACAATCTATTATTTTAAATAACCTGCAAAGTGTTGATAAGCCGTAAAAAAACGAATCGGGTTTTTCTGTTAATTTACCCAATATGATGTATTGTGTAAAGTTACTTATTGCAAACATTAATTCGCCCCAAGAAATTATAAATTTTAAATGAAAGTTTGTTTTTTTTTTAATTAAATTTTGGCACTCTTTTGAAATTATCACCAACTACAGCCCACAGAATGAAAAATTACCAAACATCAGCGAGTTATTCACGTTTCGTAAGTGCGTATGATATTCGAAATACTTAAAAAGGAATTTCTGACAACTTAAAAAAAAAAGAAGCTGTTTTTGGCTTGTTTATCGGCGGAGCGCGAACGTTGACCCCACACTTAGGAATAGCGCCCCCGAATCAGCCACATTTGGGGCGATCGCAAAGGTCAACCCAACCGGAGTGCAATGAAAAGGCTTCGCTCTGGGAGAATTTGGTGTGAATTTTAGTAAATATTATAAATTCTTTTTACTTGGGGGTGAATTAAAGAAAGATCCAACAAATCAGTTAATCAATTCTAGTGCCAAATATCCGACATAATATCCCATAATATGCTCTTTTTATTTCTTCCTTTTAAGCCCTGACGACAACTTCATTTAGTAATAATCCTATTGAATGAACAATAGTATATAAAAAAGGACGAACTTACGTGTCAGGCTATAGACTTATTGATCATCCCTTGCGTCCTCCTGTAAATGTGTCACATCAACAAACAAGAAAAACATTTTTGAAATCATGAATATTGATGCGAACAGTAATATAAATAAAGGCGTGTGAGGGTTGTTTTTTTTTTTTTTTTTTTGTATCCATACTCACACACTGTGCTGATTTTAACATATGCCTGCAAAATCTTCAGCAAAGTCGCATTCAATTTATTAAACCTTACTCACACATAATAACAGTGACTAATTCCTTTATGGGTTAGGAAGTAGTGTGGGGGAGCGCAGAGAGGAGGGTGGGGGCTGAGAAGAAGCGAGCAGAGCGGAGGTGGTGGAGAGAAAGTTAACGTCTTCCTATTATTCCAAGCCCTTAAAAATTTATTTTATTTTTGGAATTCCCAGTAATAAAACCATTTAAAAATACGATCTACTTTTTTCAAGGTGTATAATATTTTTTGAAAATATTATTTCAGTTTTTTTATTTTTTTTATTTTTCCCTAACCTTTTTACGGGAAAATAACATTATTAAGCCCGTCATTTGGCTAACGGAATATTTCACAAAACTATTATATGGAAAAATAAAAATTAAATACAAATAAAATATAGCAATAATAAAAAAAAAAACATTATAAATTAAAAATAGCTAAAGAGAAACAAAAAACTAAAAATAGATAACGGTTGGGGGAGGGGGGACAAGATGAATAGAAAGAATAAAAAACAAGATCCCAGTTGACGAGGAAGAATCATACAATGTCGGGTTTATGAGTCCTTGACAATGACAGACAACCAGTTTTTCTTAACGATATTCAACTATTTCTTTTTTTCTTTTTTTTCCTTTTTTTTTTTTTTTTTGGTAATTTATAAACAGTAAGGAGTGCAGAAAAGTTCTTGGCTTGACCCAGCTCATAAAATCTGACCAAATATATCAGATCTTTCTTTTGCAAGGGCTTCTTGGTCGGGCTGCGAACTTTTCAGCATCATGTGTACAGATATTTACGAATTAAATACATTAGATTGCAGTACACACATGGAAAAAATATATAGTCACATATACACACACCTCAATTTTTAGGGAAATATTGTTTACATTTAAAAGGCCACTTCGACGGAGAGTAATGGATAGCAAGCTTGTCTCGCTAGATCGATTACGACTGAAATAGTGAATTCGATCCTCAATGAATACCCCAGACATTCGGCCTTGTGCCACATCTAAGCTACGCTTAGAAAGTCCCTTTAAAGCCCACAAAAAAAAACAAGGTATCTTGCATATCACATATGTCGGCGAGTATCACTAAACATCAGTATTTTTCAGTGACTATATGTGTGTGCATGTGTATATATATATATATATATATATATATATATATTATGTGTGTATATGTGAGGAGGAGGAAGAGAGAGAGAGAGATTCAAAATCAAGCAAGGTCTTATTTTTTAGTCCTTAAAGCACACTCAGTCGTTCATTATCTTTGTTAATAAATTTTCTCGAATATTCAGGCCGGTAAACGAAATAGAATACTGTTTAAAATAAACAGAGCGTCTACTTAAATATGTGCATCCTTTAAAAATAACGTTTACTTTAAAAGTGATAAAAATATGTCGGTTTACAAAATAAAATCCGTTATGAATAAAGACAAACGGAAAACTATTCTTTTTACCAATGCGTTTCGTCCTGTAATAAACTTTATCAAGCGAAATGTAAGGACTTTAGTTTGCAACAAGTATTTATAAACAGAAGTAAAAAATATTGTTAGGTTTTCAAAATTTTAAATTTAAGAACGTTCATAAATATCAGGCTATGAAAGTCAAGGTAAACTATGGAGGCTGCGAAGTGATGTAATTTAATGCCAAATAAACGAAAGCGAGTAAATATTATTGACTTTTTTATTTATTTGTAAATAATTATTTATTTACTTTTTTATTATTAATTATGTAATTACAGTATTAATAACTATTTTAATTTGATGAATTATTTATTTATTTAAATAATAAATTTTGATATAACCATTATCTTTTTTGTATACGTGTTATACTTTTCAGAGAGAACAGTTACTACACTTTGATTCGAAGCAGAATTGCCAATCCATATGGAAAAGCTATTTACCTGACCTCCCCACTAAGAAAGGATGTGACACAAGGACTTTTTTGGAGTGCCCATGCACATGCATATAAGCCAATGACAAAAAACGCCCAGTCCCAATGTCATACTGGCGTCGATTAAACTGACATCATCTCGCTTAAGCGCATGAGGAATCGCCGGGACCGGGCACCTTCTCCCAAAATAAGGAGAGAACAGATACTACTCTTTGATCTCAGCCAAAAGGTCAAGAAGCGACCAATGTAGAAAATATACAGACGGATTTAATTTTCGCAAGCATAATATATGTGTGTGCGCATGCGCGTATATAAGATTCCTACTGTATTTCCTTAGATCCTGAAAATGTTTCGACACTCACACAATATTTAATACACTTACTCCGTTAGACGCGTACAACTATCTACCTACCCATCAAATATTTCGAATCTTTCAACGATGGTTGCTAGGGGTCAGTATTCCATAGCAACGTTTCTCCTTCAATTCGGCCATCTGTAGTTTCTTTGAAGCTCTCTCTCTCTCTCTCTCTCTCTCTCGCGCGCGCGCGCCTGCCTTCTCAAGTCGCCACTGATAGACGGCCAGGCAGAAGAACCAACAATTCAGGAGTTTCGCCAGCGCCCGCCTCCTCCTTCATCATGCACAAGTCCATCACCCTCCGCCAGTCGCCCTGGGAGAGAACAGGGAACCCACCCACATCTACACGTATATATATGGGAGGGGAGAAACGTTTCAACTAGGTCAGCGTGGACCCTTTCAATTGTACTACTAGCCTCGAGCTAAGAATTCGATCAAAAACGCTATGACACCATCACCTTCCCTCGTTTGTATTGCCTTCCTTCCCCGACCTGCGTCATCTACATTTGTATATAATAAATAATTGCCCTGAAAAAGCAATGTCGTTGTGAGGATAGAAGGGAAGAGGAAGAAAAAAAAGAGAAACAGAAAGCTTTCTAAAGCTTTCTAAATCTTCAATTTGTCACGCTGAAACAAGTCTTGGTAAAACAATTTCTTACATTTGTAGTTGACGCATGTAATCTTCCTTTGTATAGTTGTACAATGCAATTTTGGAAGAAAGATTAAAAACCATAAAGATTTTTGACAGACGCGCGCACACGCATATGAAAAATGAATGTCTATGTTTTAATTTATAAGTTTAAAAAAATGGATTTTTAAAAAAAATGATGCGAAGTTAATGGCACCGATAAACTATGAAACGTATCCCGTTACAAACTGTTTTAATTTATATTCACGATAAAGTAAATCGAGATTAACTTCATCCAAAACAGCACAACTTAAGTGAAATAAGTGTTGAAAGAATGTATTGCGCCGATCTCAAAAATGGTGTAAACTTGACTATCTTTGAAATTTCTATCAGCATTTCAAAATCCTCATTATTCACTCAAACGCACTTTTCTGTCGCTGGTAAATAACTTCTCTCTCGCTCTTCTCATACAGTTTTTCTAAAATGTACTCACTCTTTAAATGACAATAAATACAGTGTTTATTGACTTGTCAACAAGATTAATTGACAGAATTTAAAAAAAATTAAGGTTTATATTGAATTACAAAGAAGATTAACGGTTTAATTAAATTAAATGCATGTAAGTATTCAATCTGACGACGAAATAAAAATGAGTATACTTCTGGGGACACCCTAACAAGGGCAAACGGAAGGGTAGCAATAATCAGTTTTTCGTACTGGTTATTGGTACCATTTCGTTTGCCCTTGTTTTATTAACTAACACTAAGGAGCACACGTGGACCATTTCTTTTAATTATATATATATATATATATATATATATATATATATATATATATATATATATATATATTTGTGTGTGTGTGTGTACTAGCAGACTACCCGTAAAATTACGTATTTATATATGGGTTGGTACTTTAAAGTGTAGCTTCTGTGCGCCCAGTAAAATGTGCACAGCATACACTGAAATTAGCTAGGTGGGTATACAGGTTCGATTCCTGACGTGGGGGGTACATTTTTTTTTTCTTTATTTACTA